AGCCCCAATTGGGAAGACAATAATGGCAATTTTATTTTGATATTTTTATTTTAATTATCTAGGATGAGAACTCAATAGATTGTTTCCAAATTCTCTTTTGGAACCAACTATTCTAAAAAAGAAAAACAGAAATTGCAAAGCAGGATCTCAAATAATGCTGATCCCTTTAGTGGCAGAGAAAACATTAGCTTAGCTCTCTCCATCTTTGAATTCTGGATCTCTGCTGGCCTATGATACCTTCTTCCTGCACACTATTCCAACTCGTTCAAAGCAACTTTTGCTGGTTTCTAAATTTAGTCTTTAATAAAACTCTCCTTCCTCTCCCTCTTCTACACACAAATATTGTTTCTGCTCTTTCTAAATGAAGATAGAGACCTTTTTATTTACAATGTCTGTTAACTCTTTGTAATAAATATTTATGTCATACTGGGTACATTCTTATGGTGTATTGCTTCCAAAGCAGCACTAAAATTCTCCTATAGTTCCAAAGGGATTCCTTGTGACATTAATTAAGGCGTGAAATTGCTTCATGTTAATTGCCCACGCCCTTCTATGATCTGCTATTAAGACAATTAAATATCTTTAATGGTGCATTAACTAACAGAACAATCTAACCTTTCCATTTCTGGGAAATTACAGAGGACCAAGGAAAATTTGATTAAATTGGTAGTAATAAAAAGATTAATCATATTCCAATTTTTTCATGGAAACTGATAGAGGATGGGGGTTATTCGAGTGCATAATTTCTAAATTTCATCCAAAACAGAAATTATATTGATTCCATTAGAAAAACAGAACCTGACAACAACAATGGCAATGGCCCAGCCCACAGGTGGTCCAACTCTCTGCTACAGAGAAACATGGACTTACAAAGATTTATACCTAGTTCTACCCAGGACTTTGCTTTCAAATAATCTGTCAAGAATTCAGCAGCCACATAGAAGTAATAATTTGTAGCAGCTCTACTACTTTAAATTCCATTCACATAGCACATTGTTATTTTCAACGTGTTTCCCTAATCGGATTGTCACTTGAGAATCGCCAAAACCATTAAAATATGCAGATTAATATTTATTGTTCCTGTTTTATTTTACTTATTTTTTATGGTGCTAGAGATTGAACCCAGGGCCTTGTGCATGCGAGGCACACACTCTGCTAGCTGCGCCATATCCCCAGCCCTATTGTTCCTATTTTAAACATAAGGAATCTAAACTTAAGAGAGGTTAAATAACTCACTGAAGTCCTTAGTGCTAGAAGAAGGCAAAGCTATGGCCAGAACTGTTACCTTTTAACTTTAGACCTCCTGCTTTTTCTAACAGGAATGTGAGGGGTGTGTGTGTGTGTGTGTGTGTGTGTGTGTATGTGTGTGTGTGTGTGTGTGTAAGAGAATAGGCTTTGTTATTATATAAAGCTATTCATTGTACTTCTTTATCAGTTGTTGTGTGTGTTCTTGTTATAAATTAGCATCTGCAGAGGCAAGACATATGGACAAATATTCAGTTTTTTAGAGAGCAATAGAAGTGATTTTCATATAAGCATTAAAGAGAGCAGCTTTACAAGTTGAATGTGAACCAGAATCACATGCAGGGCTTGTTTAAGCATAAATTTCTGGACTTCATCCTCTGAGTTTTTAATTCTATATGTCGAGGCTGGTCCAGTAATTTAAAGTTCTTAAAGTTGTAGGTATTGCTCTTGCTGTTGGCAGGTCAGAGGAAACACTTTGAGAAACACTGAGTTATGGAATCATTAGATGCTATGATTCTCAGACTATCCTTTGTTTTCTAGGCTACAATTTACCATAGGTCATATGGGGGAAAGAAAGGGATGTTGTTAATTTTGCTGTTTTATTTTATTTGCCATTGATTTTTTTATTTCTATGAAGATGAGACATATTACTTGTTTATGCAGATATCAATAAACTAGAGAAGCTAGATAAATGTAGATTATCACATGATGTTCACTGCTGTATTCTTTCAAAATCATCTGTTCTACCTATGTACTGGTACAGTTTAGGGCAGTCAGCCCAAGTTTAGAACTTTAGAGAAAGTAAAGATTCACTGACATTAAAAGTGAAAGAAAGTTAAGCTTTACTCCAGCTATCATCTTCTGAAGTGAGGCACCAAAGATAATAGATAAGGGTATTCCTTTGTAAAATAATCACAGAACACTCACTGAGCATCCTTCATAATTCTAACTAATAGGGATGCTGTGGTACTTAAGAGAAAGGTTTTTTATTTGTGGGTTTATTTCATGGCATTTATATCTAGAAAGGCATAAATCGATAAATACACAAATGAACAATAAATAGAGGAGCAAATATTTAAACACACCATTAGATATTAGATTTAAAGGGGAAAAGTGTGGCAGTTTTACATAGGGAAGTCAAGGTAAACCTCTCAGGAAAAATGACACAGATTAATTACATTTGAATGGAATCTCAGTAGTAAACCATGAAAAGATGTGGGAGAAGTTTCCAAGCAAAATTGTTTCCAAAGACTCTAATGTAATCCAAGCTTGTCACTTGTGAGCAAGAAGGGTCATGTGACTGGAATGGATTGATTAAATGGGGAAGGGCAGAAGATGTAGAGGCAGGAACCAGATAAAATAAGACCTGGTAACCTCCTTGAGGACTTTGGATATTGTGGCTAATGTGTTTGGAAGTCATTACAGGTTTGGAGCAAGATTGCAAGGAAATTGGCCAGGATCTTAGACAAGATGATGGTAGCTTCTCCTTGAGGGCTTTATAGCCACAGGTAGAAAGAATGACTTTGGATTTATTTAGAAGTCAGAGCAGATGGAGCATACTAATGGATAGAGTGTAGGTTGTTAGGTAAAGAGAGAAGACAGTGATGACACTTAAGTTTTGGGCAAGAACAACCGGGTGCTATATATTAAAATGGGGAAGAGTAGAAAAGTGGATTTCACTGTCTGTAATAGTGTGACAAAAGAACTTATTAAGAAGTCCAAGTAAAGATGCCACATAAGCAATCCACATGGATTTCAGCTTCTCCACATACTTGCTCACTCTTTCTTTCTTTGATAAAAGCCATGCTGAATTTGTTTTTATTGTTATCATTGCTTGATGACATTAAAATATTTAGTAAAGGTAAGGCCAGCTCACATACTGATTAATATATGGTTGAAACTTTTAAACTAATATACGGCAGTCATTTATACTTTATTTGATGAATTACAGCTTTACTGGCTTACTGGTCTTTGAAACCCTGCATTCTTATCCTCTCTCTACCTGCTCGCAATCTAGCTTTAGGGAAGACATTTAGGTTCTTTTATGTTTGAAAAAATAAAGATGATAATTTCTTACCTACAATATTTATAGGTCTATTATTATTATCAAATGACTTAATCAATTTTAAATGTCTTTGAATACTTCAAAATGATGGATCTTTCAAGGGATCATCATCGTGGTTGTTATTTTCATTACAAAGGTTTTGGTTTACAGTTTGGACTTACAATGAACTTTATCGAACACTTACACATCATTTTTCTCTTGTATGTTGTTTGGCATTTATTTTGCGCAATTCAGAATTGATACAGCTATCAAAGGCAGTTGTATTACAAAAAAAAAGCTTTTTCCTTTCTTTTTTGCATTCTAAATGAATTATGCTATTTTGATTATGTTTCAGTTCTAAAATTTTATTGAGGTTCATACCCCTTCTTAACTTAGATATATTACTGAATTCCAGAGCTGTAAACAAGAATGAAAGTTAAAGCATAAAAAATTAAATTTAATCTGTAAGTTTGATAAAGATCTTGTTCTCTTTCTGTCCTTTTCTTTCTTTTCTTTTCTTTATTTTTTTGTATTTGCATACAATTCCTAGAATGACCTTAGTTTGCTTTATCTAAGCATCCATTTTTTTTTCCTAAGGAAGAATACAGCAATTCAAATACCTATTTGATTTATTGAGCAGGGAGCAAGAAAGTGGCTTAATAAAAGATGTGGATCCAGGTAGTATGACTTCCAAACTTGTACTCTTAATCTTTCAAGCCCAAGGGAGGAAACTATGTTATGTAGGAAATAGCATCCACATTATTAAACCATTGAGTGATGCTTGAATAAATGTAGATGTTTAGCTGTTTTTCCAAAATGAAGGATAAAATAATAATTCCTGATATGTCAGTGAAATATGTCTTATACAGTCAGTTTTGTCTAACTCGCAACAGTCTAATGAAGCAAAAATGGATTCAACATGCTGATTGATCCTATCTTAGGAGAATAACTATAAATTGGAAAACATTGTTCTGTTGCAGTAATCTCACAACAGCCATGCTAGTTTGCAGACTGGGCTTTAGAGTTAGACAAAGCAGAGAGGAGAAAAGGACCATTAAATAGATGCAAAATGAAATCTCATGGTTGCATAATCACATTCCCTATTGATGAATAACTAAAAAATCATGGGCTGTGTCCCTTAATTTAGACAAAGAAAATCTGGGGTAATCAAGGAAATTGATTCATGTTCTTTCCTCTTCTCTCTCCTCTCCATTATCATTTCTTATAGGATGTCCTGAAATTTGGAACTAACAGTTCAGTTTGACACAACAATGTCATGATTCTTACAGTGGTTAGGTTAAGGTTAGGAGCATGTCAGTAAATATTTTTCCCTTCCCAAACTAAATTGCAGAAAATGGACCAAAAAAGCAAAATGCTACTTCTAACTTCAAATGCTCTACCTCCAATTTCTTCCCTAACTCTGGATAGAAATCCTATTATATAGGTTAGGAGGCTGTAAAGACTCCAACCTTATCTACCAGAAAACTGAAAGAACCTATATACTGCAATATAAGAAGGCTTAAAGGGTTATGACTTATAGAACTGGAAGAGAACCAGGGATAGCCACTATACATCAAACTAAAACCCTTTCACAATGTGGAGGAAAATCAGTGATTAAGTGAAGAATATCCTAAAGTAAATATTTGTGAATTTTATTGAAGCAAAATTGATGTTCATTATCATAAGTAATTATTGTCATTTTGCTTTCCAGTGTGTATGTACAGAGAACCATCACTACACGAAATTGGAGAAAAACAAGGACGTTCAAGGAAAAGTTCTGGAACACCAACCATGAATGGAGGCAAAGTCGTGAATCAAGATTCAACATAGCTGAGAACTCTTCCCTTCTTCCCTCTCTTATCCCTTCCCTTACTCTTTCCTTCCCTTTCCCCATGTCCTTCCAATAATCCACCCAAGGAGAGAAAAATAAAATGGCAATGCAGGACCTAGTAGCTAAGATTCTGCACTCAAAATCTTCCTTTGTGTAAAATGAGAAAAGTGAACCAAAGCTTGCCTGTTGCAATGTGGTAGAAAATTCACATGCACAAAGATTAGTATACATAAAAGCAAAGGAAAAATAAATCAGGACTCCATAAACATCAAACTGTGTTGTTCTTAATAGAGGGCTACTTCATAAACAACTACAATAAAGATGAAAAGAAGTTACCTAGAAGGAAAGGGTTTTTGAGACTTGAACTCTCAAACTGACGTTAGATTCTAAATGGCTTAAACTTTTGATAATGCTGTGATATGTGGTTTTGTTTGATGTTGGGTTTTTTTGTTTGTTTGTTTTGGACATCTAGAATTGACACACAATTACATACTTTCTCTAAGATTTTTTTTTTTAGCCATGAATTGAACATGTGAATTATACTTTTTTAATGCCTGTAAGGTGTATAGCCAGGAACTACTTAACATCAAGGAAAATTTCAAAAAATTACTCTTGAACCTATTAAGATTGTTTTTTTTTTTTTTTTTTGGCAAAAGATTAATCTTGCATTGAAACTAATGGTATTAGTTGACTTATAAATTACTTTATAAACAAGAGTTTCAAATTCTCCTAAGAGAATATATTTTTATCAAAGGTATTAATACAAGATATTATTTTAGTTTTTAGTCATTTAGAAAACATTCTTGTCCTAATACTCTTATATTTGTTCTTATTTTTTTGCATTTTGGACACCTTTGAGAGTATAGGTACATGTCTAGTTGTCTTAGAGAGTTTTGTACCATATCTTGCAGCAGGAAAGAGAGATGGGTTTCACATAAAGAAATAAGTCCAAGGAAATGGGTCAATGTATTTCCCCTTTGTACCTTGTTGAAGTTTTATGTATATAGCATTTTCCAAACTGTATGAGAAAATGGGAGGCAAGGCTGTGAATTCCTAGCTTACCGTCTTATGAACCTGGTGGACTGTTTGTTGATATATATCCTCATTTATAAGTCCAGTTGACAATAAATCTGTAGCTTAGAAGACAGAGGGTACTGTTAGTACACTGAATTTTCAGGTGACATGGAGAAACAGTTATGGAATTAGCAGCTATGGCTCCAAGGGACTGAACTGGGAGTGGCTTAAAGGAATGAAAAAGAACTCAGTGTAAGAGCAAGCAAACACACAGTTAGGAAAATTAAAGTATTAGACAAAAATATTAGCCAAGAAATGAAAGTTGTACAATTGCATTGGAATAAATAGTTCTACTTAGCCCTACAAATCAGAAATGATGTAGAGACATCCAAATTTCAACAAAAGAAAACAAAACAGAATGTTTAAAAATGTATGCAGATTTATGGATATTATTAATGAGAAGACTTAGCATGTAACTTCTCCTATATCTCTACTGTCCAGCATGTCTTGTTCGAAATATGACTCCCTAAAATATATACACTTTGCAGCTCTAGGTCCTCACTTCCAACCTTGCCATTGATTGCTGTATTCTTTCAAGGTCAATGTAGTTTCCCTCACTCCACATGATCATTATTCTTCAATAGTGGTTCTTGTCCTTCACCAAGTATACTATTTATGTTATCAGGAAGTTACCAGAAAAAAAAATGGAGGAATTTGCCTAATCAATTGGAAAGAATAAACATTATGCAACTAGGCAAGGATTTTGAATACACATTTTCAAAGGATATTTGTTTAATCAAAATATCTGGAAAGTAACAAATAAATGCATTTAATTTTTTAAAAAAAAGATATGTCACTCTTCTAGGAAAAGAATACCCTTGTTAAAAAAAATGCAAATATTGGTATATCTTCTTTGTCACTCTTGGTTCAACATAAGACCCCTGTCACTTCCAGGACCAAACAAATCCCAAGCATAAAGCTTTATTTTGTTTGAAAAAAATAAAAAAGAGGCCTCAATGAAATGGTTCACAAGCTCTTTTAGCATGAAACAGCCGGAGCCTCTGTAGTAATGCACATGGTCTCATCAGTAACACATGCAATGGTTTCACAAGTAACACAAAGGACAGAATTCACAATTACTTACACTGGTGATTTCATGACAATATATTTAATCTAGTTAATTATGAAAATTATGACAGAAATAGGAATCTCCAACAACATTCCTTTCTCTGCTTACAGTGACTACCCATTGTTTGTCATGCAGACCCACATCTGTCTCTTTCATGAGACCAGTTAAGAAGCAGAGTTCTAACTACCCAATCTGAGTATTGTATTTCCTCCATATCATATTAAGCACATGTTCTCTGCAATGAAATGTTCTAGAAATTAGTTTTGCTTATTTTCAACTCATTTCTTTTATAGAATAAACCTGAGGAAAATGTGGTTCAGAGCTTAGGGTAAAGGTTTACTTGACTGCTGCTTTTTTGACAGTACATTAAAACCTATTGCAGTCATTATTCACTAAGTTTTGAAATTATTATGAAATATAAAACTATAATTGTCTTTTTCCTTCAAAAATTAGTCAGTTTTAATACTTTGTTTTCCGTTTGATTCCAAATATAATTATTAATTACTTTGACTTTTCGTTGTTCTAATTTTTGGGTCTTTAACTCATCTATCTTCTCCTTCAAGTGGAAAAAGTTTTTAGAAAAATGCCCTGGGAGATTCCCAGGAAAAGTATGGCTTTTAGTAAAGCTTTGAAATTGTGTATGTAGATATAAATTAAGACATGGTTACTGTAAATTCTTACTGTAATATGTTTCAAAATCAGTAGACTTGAGAATGAAAACAAAAAACTTTTGAGAGTCTTACAAAACATCTTTCTGGTTAATATACGTAACTTGATTTTAAAATTAAGTTCAAAGTATAGAAATAAGTCATTCTGCAGTTTCATTTGGTAGTTTTAAGATTTTTGTGCTTCAGAAAACTGGAAGACCCCCAAGCCATCGTATTCTTGATCATAGTAATAATTTTGGTTTTAATTATACATATGAAAGTCATAGAACATTTTTAAGCCATTATGGATTGGCACAATAAAGAGACATCAATGTAATGTAATGTGATTCATTTTTTAAAATATATTTTTTAGTTGTAGATGGACACAATACCTTTATTTACTTATTTATATGGTGCTGAGGATCGAACCCAGTGCCTCACACATGCTAGGTGAGTGCTCTACCACTGAGCCACAACCCCAGCCTCCGTAATGTGATTATTTATAGGCTTCATATCAATCTAGAAAACTTCTTTAGAAGAACTCTTCTTTTTAAGAAAATGACAACTCAATAACTCGGTATTTTTTTCTAAATTGGCGATCTTTGGGTGCCATTATGGGGAGATGAGAGTATTAAGACAAGAGTAAAGGATAAAGAATGAATTGATTGTTATTCATTGAAAAGTTTGGAGATTATAGTTTGGGACTACTGGTTTCTTGGTGAAGAAGACTGGCAACATCATCAATCTTTTTTTTTTAAACATAGACCCAGAAATAGCATATTTATTCTTCTACCCTGTTGGCTTACTCTACAAGGCCTTGCTCTTGAGAAAGTTTTTCATGATGTTGCTTAGTTTCATCTGCAAAAGATGAGACCCAGTCAAATATAAAATTTCCCTGCTCATTTTAATACCATTAAGGCTGAGGTTATTTCTTTGTCATAAAATTGTAAATAGCATTTTTTAAGTCAGAATCACCTTTAAAACAGTGGATTGTTTGACAAATAGATATGTGTATATATACAAATGCTGAAATGAGGATATATTATATAGAGTTTTTATTTGATTTGTGGTCTTTAGTCATAGTTAATCAAAAATAAAGAGATTTGAATGCAAAACTTTATATATAAATGTATATTTCTAAAATAGTACAAATTGCCACTTTATATTTAAAAAAAGAAAGAGGTGGGAACAATAATCAAAGCACATACTCCTTTAGAACTTCAATGATTTTTAATTCTCTCTTTAATGCAGAGGTAATTTTTTTATTTCTAAAAAGTGATCTTGAAAAGCTATACTTAATAATATGAGACTTCCCAATATCATACTTCCCAGTATATCCCAGGACAAGTTGTCTTGCTTGAAAATTTATGAAAATTTTATAGATTGAAAATTTATGCTTGAGGGACAGGGAAAGGATGATAAATGTTGATCTTTAATAGAATTTTTTTTCCAAAATCCAAGTTAAAAATTCAGTATCTATATTCAAAACAAGTGAAAATTGCAGATGTTTAAGAATGATAATATTGAGCTTCAATACCATACCGAGGCAAAGTAAAAATATTTAACATTATGATGATAGCATTAAAATGATGTTATAATAAACACTGCACCATTAAATTTTTTATTAGTTGGAAAAAATGAGCTGATGCTTCTTTGTCTTTGCCCCAAGCACAATTTAAGGACAGTGTCATCCATTTTACTCAAAGTTGATGAGAAAGTCCAAAATATATTCCCAAGACCAAAAAGAGTATTAGCTCCATCTTAAGGTTAAATGTTAAAATCTTAAGAAACTCGACACTGAGATGTTTAATAAACATGTTATATGAGAAACTAAGAAAATTAATGATTCATTTTTGCGTTAAAACACAGATTATTCAAATCATTGTTTTTTGAGACCAGATTTGTAAAATGTTTATACATCACAATTTTCCTTGAAGTGAAAAGAAATTAAAATCTTGAGATACTCATGCATGTAGACAAAATACTGGCACCATTTTTTTTTAACATTAAACTTCTTAGAGAAGTCTTTCTCTCTCTTCTTTTTCCAGTGTGTACCCCATAAAGTGTTGCTGAATAAGTGTCATGTCTTCTATAGAAAAGATCCAAGATGGATTTACAGATGGGAAATGAGTCAAACTTTATTGAACATTCAAAAGTAAACATTACTTTCTCAACATAAAGTTATTTATTGTAACTGGACATATTATTTTTGTGGATTAAGAACTAGAGAACATTTATTTATTTTTTTATTCACAACTTGCCAACTGGACACTTGTTTGAGTTTGGGGATCATAAACTAAAGCTAAGAAAGGCAAACACATACATATATAATGTAATATCCCCCCCCCCAAATATGTGCTACAATAAGCATATTACTAAGATTTTATATGCCACTAATGACACAAAAATGATTGTGAGAGGAAAACGGGTATGAAAGGAAAAAACAGTCACTGTGTAATAAAAGAAATGACAAAAAGGCCCTCAAGTTGAAGAAATAGTTTGAATAAAAGGTATGTACACATGCAAAATACACCTTAGTTGGGAAATACAAATGAAATAAAGAAAAAACGTTCAGAAGAGGTGATGGGGAAAAAAACTGAGTCAAATTTAATAAAAATCAAAAGTAATTCAAAATTTTGTCCATGCACTCTTTGGATGTGTCTTTGCTCAGATGCTTCTAGTGGCTAGTACAGAATCCCCCAAACCAAGCTGGACTATCACACAGAGGTTCAAAGCATTGCTGTGAGATTTAATCTGTCTGCTGTTCTCTCAGCTCTCTTTGTTTCCATTGGTAAAAATTTCCTTCTTTGAAAATATGGAAAAAATAAAAAAAAATTTCCTTCTTTGAAGTCAGGAATTCTTTTGGAAGCTGCAGACACAACACATTTATGTCACCCATTCCCTCTTATCTGGTATGTCCAATGCTTTGAAATTCCCTCTTAAATTCACCCAGAAAACATCTCCCCACATCTCACTGGTTATTTGGGTTACTAGTGCATACTTGAATGATCAACATGGCAGGAATT